GTGTCCTTGGTACAGCTATCTGTCACAACCCTTCTTTCCAGAGTCTATTTTCCATTCATTTTGGGTCAGTTTTGTTTTATAAAGTCTGTGAATAAAGTCCTGAAATAGCAAGAATTCCCAGATACTCATGTTATCTTTTGTTCTGAGGTGGCTGTCCATTTTATCCTGCCTTTTGTTTCATGTAGACCATCCAAACTGGTGAAAATTATTGATTTTCTGTCCTCCTCTTCCAAGGCTGATGTGTCCCTCTCCATCCTGCTCCAAGATGTGCACAAACCCACAGAGTTGTCTCATGGATCTTGAAAGAAAATAGTTTGTACCTATAGCAGATCATATGCTTGAAACACATCTTATTCTTTGTGTTATTCTCCAGGACTAAGTCACCATTTTTGCTTTATAAAAATAAATAAATTATAGCAATATTAGGCTGGTAACAGAGACAATGAAGTTGCTGTTGCCTTGCCCAGGGGATTTACCATGGCTTCTCTGCCTGTGCCCTCATGTCAGGCACACAGTGATAGACCCAGGAACTCTTAGAAAACTCTCATCATAGAGACTATTATGAAATTCCTGCTTTGTTTCCTTTCTTATTGTATTGTGGCAGTGAGGACGTGCAGCACACAATTTGCTTGCTGATCATAACCCAGGTTCCATATGTAGCTCAACTTTGCTTTCTTCCAACCATGAGTTACTCAAGAATCTACTTAAGATGTGCTGGATAAGGAAGGTCTAGGAAGCTGTGCTGCAGCCTGTGACTTTGTGTCGCCAGTAAAAATGAGTTGTGGCAAAGGAAGTGCATGGGAAGTGTGTGGTTGTGCATAATCTGTGTGTGAATGGATGTGTGTAAATACACACTTGAACTATACCTCTGTGTGTATCACTGTCATGGGGTTGGATTTTATTTTTATTTTAATACAACATTTGCAAGGTGCATCATTGCTTTGGAAGGACTTGGTGTAGAAGCTTACAGTTTCAGTCATATATAATTAAAGTTTCTAGTTTTAGCCCTAGCTCTGATGAAATGTCTAAACTTCTTCCTTCAGCAATAAACCTGGATACCCAGCTGCCTGCTGGAGCTCACTTGTTACTTGAGGGCAAAATTCATTTTAACATATAAATGTAATAATTTACATTTCTGCTGTGTATAAGCAGTGAGCTGTGAACAGTGATGTGATAGAGCTGTTTGGTTTTTGGGTTTGCTTTCTGCAGTGCATTTCCCGGGTTGGTCTTAAGTGAAACCAACTTAGTTCAGTGCTTGTCCTGAACCCAACCTTCCTCTGGAAATTGTGAGGCAGTAAGGAATAGGATTGTATTTGGGAGAGAAGAAAAAATTCCATGCTTATGTGTGCCTTAGTCTGATCTGTAACACATTTAGTGGTGTGCAAAAGGTAGATGAGGTCCCTGTCTTTAAGAATTAATGCACAGTTAGAGGATGTGCGCTCTCTAATGTGGCAGGAACATCTTAATTTCCTCATTAAAGTCTTGCTTTGAGATGCAAGCAGCCTGAGCTTATGAAGTTCCTGAGCTCAGTTATTTTCAAGCTCTTGTCAGTTTTCCAGCGGAATTCCAAATTTCTAGGGGCAACCAGAATCTAATTTGAGAAGTCAAGTATGTTCATGGATGTATGATGAGACTGGGCTTCCTCTGTCCATCCTTCTGGCCTTAGGGCAATGTAACACCTCAGACTGGCCATGGTGAGCATCCTTAATTAGTGTTGAAGAGTGTCTTGTTTTGCAAGATGATAGACTTTTTACCTATGTAAATTACTTTCTTTGCAACTAATAAATTATGCCTTCTCCATGCAGTACAGTGGGGCTCATTGTGCAGCTAGTTGGTAGTTTCACTTGATTACCTTTCCCATTTCTCTTTTTAATAATCCTTGAATGGGAAGTTCAGTCACTTTTAATAGTTCCCAAAAAGCAGTGGAAGGCATGTTTCACAACTGTGAGCTGCACACCAGTGTCCTGCCTGTGGAATCCACCTTGATGCAGTCAAGGAAAGCCTCTTTCCATGGCTCATGGTGCTGCTCCAGATAAATCAGTTACTTGGATGAAGACAGCCGTGCTTGCGCAGTCAGACACTTCCTTTCCTCTCCATTTGCCCTGTTCTGTTCCACACCCTGTTGCTGTCCTTGCTGGGCAGGGGGTCCTTTGGTGCAGCTGAGTGAGCTCGTGGGGAGCTTTAGTTCTTCAGAGGATTATGCAAATAATAATTGAATTAAAGAGCTGCTGTCAACATTACGAGGTTCTGCCAAAGATAACTGATGTTAGCACTCTGGGTGCAGGCACATGGATTTCAGAGTGGACTTGGACAGGAGAAGCACATCAGGACTCCAGAATACTTGAATATTTCCTTTCTGGCTCTTTGTGGGGTATATTTCTTACCCCTTACCAAACTAAGCTGTTTAACCAGGAGTTGTCCATCTGGGAACACAGAGTAAATTAAACTCTGAACAAAATGAATAAGGCATAAATATAGCCAGGGTTTCTGGGGTTTTTCCATAGTAACTGGGATAGATGGAAGAAAGATTAAGTATTTTATATAAATTTTTGTAGGCTTGTTCTTTAACAAATCTTTGACATATCATTAAAAAACTTAAAAATAACATTCTAATAAAAATGTTTGTCTTTAGTTATGCAAATTTTATATTAAAAATCAAAATACCAGAATTACTTGAGGCTCTTAGGAACATTTTTGCGGCTCTCAGGGCAGGTAGCAGCTGTCACCTGCTCAGATGTGACCTGGTGCATTAAATCAGAGCAGTACCTTGAGTGAGGAGGCAGCAATAACCTTCAGTGAGATGCATAACACAGTCCTTGGCTGGTGCAAGCTCTGAGAGATCAATTTGTAGTGATCAAGGCAGCCCCTGAAGATCTTTGCTGTAGTTGTACCTGAATTACATTTATACAGACAATAATAGTTGCTGAGTCTTGATTTTTAAATAACTTTAATATCAACCACAGCCTCCAAAACATGTCTTTTGAGGCACATTGTGATGGAAAAAGGTAAATGCCTGTACTGATGCAGGTCCTGCCACTGAGAGGAGGAAGACGATGCTCAACCTGAGCTTCCTCAAGTCCTCCTCCTTTGGGCTGCTCTAATTTACAGCAGGCACTGAGAAATAATATGACCTTTACAGTGAGGTCTCCCTGAGGTCACAAAATTTGCATTTCTGAGGATCATTTGCAAAAATTCTGGAACAATTACTGAAGTAACTAAAGAATAGTCAGATACTCCCTCCATGAGCTGTACTTTCTGCACTGCTCAGAGATGCTTTGACCTTCTAGTTTATTACAAGTCAGGAAAAGTCAATATTTCTTAGCTTGCCAAGTTGGAGGAATTTTAATGAGTTATTGAGTCAAATAGGTAATCCTCCAATAACAGACCTTTTTTCCCTTTCAGATTTACTGTGATAAAAACAAAGGCTTAATGGGGACCAGGAAAAATGGGTTTTTGTTGGAAACTCTTGCTTGTCTCTGAGCAAATGCTTTTAACCCCTTGACCACAAGTAGATGAAATGGAGCTTCAGCACTGGGACATTTTGCATTGGCATGAAATGCTGGGCAGGCAATGGCTGTGTTGATGTTAGCAGGGAATTTAACGTGATAAAATGAGATTGAAGTAGCTGGTGCTGATCCTTCTCACATCTTTTTTTGCATGTGATAAGGAGCTGGATGAGATCTGCTCTGTGCTCCTACACTGAACTGTTTGGCTGCTGGAAAAATTTTTGAAGGGAAAAGCCCTGGGTGTACCTTAGAAGATGTTGTGGCACCCCAGTTGTGGTAGGGTGGGTTCCACTGGGTGCTGCAGCACATCTGGAGTAATGCTTGCACTTGAACATACTCTGAGAGCTGGCACACACAAAAACCTTCCCAAGAGCCAAACCTCCATGTGGTAAATGTAGAGAAAAGGGATTTGCTTCCAAAGCATCTTGCTGGTCTAGACTGAGTCCAGAGTCTGGCTGTTGAAAGGCTGTGCAAGGCTGTCTGTGGGTTTTTGCATAAGGAAAGGCTTAATCCTGGTATAATTGTGCCTTTTGCAATTCCCCTTTGTGATGCTCAACTCGGTGAACTCCAGTTAGCATAGAATGATCTAATTTCCTGAAACTCACTTCATTGCGTGTAATGCTAATTATTGCTCTGAGTAGTGGCTTGTTTGGAAGTGCCCTGTCCTGTGTGAATTTTAGTCATGTCCTCTGTAAGCCTTTAAGTGAGGAAACTTCATAAGTAGAAAATGTTATAGCACAAGGGCAGCCCTTTTAGTAATATCAAAGACCACAGTAATATTCAAAATATCATATCCAGTGAATTCTTAGAAGTAGTAGAAAGTTATTTTTCACTGTATGTCATTACTCAGAGTGTAGGAGTAGATACTGATGGTCCCTGTAACAATGACTGGTGTTTCCCCATTTCATTCCCTTCTGTGATAGTCAGTAACATTCCTTTCAGTAGTAGTCTTTCTTTGGAGTTATTTTTTCAAAAGCTCTCAAAAACAAAACTGAAGTTGTTTGTGTGAGCTGTCCTTGAAACCTGTGTGAATTTTAGCCTGAAGGATATTCTGCGTCTGGGTGGGAGCTTCTGGCTCCCAGGGTGAGAGCTGGACTCTGGATGTGCCCAGGAGCTGAGTGCTGACATTTGGGGCACTTGGCTGAGTTTTGTGCCTGGAGTAGTGCAGGGTTTCAGAATTGCTTTCTGAAAGTGTGGGCACTGAAATGCTCTCGCTGGGCTTTATTCTAGGCTCTAGTTCTGTGAAGAGCTAACAGAACAAAGGGTTTTGTGTCCATCACTTTCCAAGAAAGCTCTTTGAGCACACACTCAGTGTTGTGACGAGGGAGAGCTGGAGGTCTGGGAGTGCAGATCTGAGCGCTCTCCAAGCTCTTCAAAGGGGAGCACTTTGTACCTGCAGCACCTTTGCTGCTCCTGCCGGGGCTGTGCTGCTGCAGCAGCTGTGTGGGCTGTTGAGGCTCTTGTGGCTCATGGTTCATTTTCTGCTGTCCCCAGTGCTGCAGGGGCAGGAGGGGCCCTGCCAGAGGCGATTCTGCGGCCGGGGAAGCCGGTGTGTGCTCAACGGGGACACGCAGCAGCCCGAGTGCCGGTGCCTGGAGGAGTGCAAGGCCACCTACATGCCCGTCTGTGGCTCTGACGGCAGGTTCTACGAGAATCACTGCCAGCTGCATCGAGCCTCGTGCCTGCAGAGGAAGAAAATCTACATCGTCCACAGCAAGGACTGTTTCTTCAAAGGTAGGGCGTTGTTGAAAATAAATACTTCTGTAGGGCTTTCATCACTCGTCGTAATCCTGTAAATGGCTGAACGGTGTGTTTTATTTCTAAGAGCTAAATTTTTCAGGGATGATTTATTCCAGGACAGCAGAGAACATACACAATGTTTTATGCAGCTATTAAGCCCCTGAGTGCCATTGCCGTGCAAAATGTAATCATACTGGGAACTGGTAAATAATTAACATCACTGTATGCATTGTGTGCACTGGAGTTGTGCTGCTCAGTACTTTCAGCTGCTAGTGTAATAACTTTTTACAATCCAATTCATTTGAAAAGGCTTTGAACAAGACAAAGATGTTAAGAAAAAATAGATGGTATAAACAAAAGTTTGCTGCAACATTGAGAAACAAAAACCTAGTTAGGCAAATGGCACAGGCAAAGGGAAGGAACTGCTTAAATGAAATAAGGAATGGGGACAGACTTTAAATAACTTTAAAGACAGTTCTGGTTACCAGTGGGATGCATACATCTGGAGCTCTTTTACTGGTTCAGTAGCAAATTTCATTATCATCTTTGCACCAAAGCCAGTCCCAAATCTCTCCCATAAGTGTTTTGTATGCCATGTGCCATCCTGCCATCAAGGGAGACTGCAGGAGTAGGAGCATGTGATAAAATGCCAGGGAATGGAAGAAGCTGTAAATTATTTTACTTCTAATGAGAGGTCTCACAAAGGGCCTCACTCGAGTATATCTTGAAAGCTCATTGTCAAATATGACTGTGTATACCTACAGGAAGATTTGAGTGGGTTGTTGCAAATATATCCAGTGACATTTACGTGATCAAATATGAAAATAATTCCTTTATCTTCAGCTCACTTAAGCCTCCAAGGAGATTGGCTGTATACAGAGCTATCCATCCTGAGTTTTCTTTGCTAACATGATGCTAGAAGAGTCTATTTTAGAAACAGGAGCCCATTTGAAGAGCTTATTAATATGTCCTTGTGATACCCTTTGGAGATAGAAAAGTAGTGCCATTCTTGTGTCTTGGAGAAGACATTGTGTCTTTTTGTGACTAAAATTTTCCAGTGGTATGTAGGCACTGCTTTGCAGTGCATTGCAAAGTCTCATTTGCTTTGAAGATCTGGCTGTGGAGAGGACAACACAGCTGGTCAGAGCATTGATTTGGCAAACACGCTGGGTTAGTTTGTCACAGGCAGCCTCTGAATTTACCAAAGCAAGTAATTAGGATCAATAGACCTTGTAGGAAGTAAATCATGGAAGGGGTCACCCAAAGACATGTTTCAAGCACATGAGTATATCAAGGCATAGAGGGTTTTTTTGCTTGTCACATTAAAAAGGAGCATCTAAAAAGGGCACTTGTGCCTTGCTCCAAGTGCTGTGCTTCTGCCTCTGGGTATCAGGTGAGATCAGGGTGTGGATCAAGCTGGAAACAGTGTCCATCCCTGAGTAAGATGCAGGTGGGCCTCTACAGCATGAGAAACCTTGCAAAGAAAACTAAAGTTTGAATTTCAGAGATGCTCAGCAACCCCCCACTCAGTTCAGGGGATTTTCTTTCCCTGACTACCAAGAACATACCTTGGGTTTTTCATTCTTGACATGACCCACCTTTTTATGACGGTGTGTCTGCCCTGGGTTTTTATTTGTTCCTTATCACATATAGTGTTAAAGAAAATGAGTTCTTATTGCAGTAATCAGCCCCTGCAGTGGCTGTATTATGCCTAATGATAGAATGTCACGCTTGAATACTTCCCTGAACACACCATGAAATGATGTCAGAAAGTAGGAGTTGTGTGTCCCAGTTTAAAGTAACCCTCGAACTCTTGCCAGGGAGCACTGCTTAAATCTGCTTTTCAGCAGAATAACAGCTTTATGGAAGGGAAGAAAGGAACAAGCTCACTTCTCTTCCCACGTGAATAAATAAAAATGTACTTCACACCTCTGTCTGCAGAGATAACATACAGAAAAAAAGTTTACCTTAAGTGGGGAATAATCCCACAGAATGGGACTCCATAGAAATACTTGGCTTCAGCCCTTTTTTCTACCATGCAGTTCCTGAGTAACCTTCTGTGTATTGCTCTGTTTATTGGTACTACAGTCTCCTATTTCTAAATCAAGAATGATAGTGGTTTCTCTTAAATCAAAATTTTCAGTCAGCAATTAAAGTACAGGTTTTTAAGCATCATTAAAAGTGTAACATGAAATGTAAGACTTTGACTGGGGAAAAACCTTTAAGGTGCAAAATTACAGAATCCCAAAATGGGTTGGGTTGGGAGTGCCCTTAATGAGCCTCCTGTTCCAACCCCACTGGTGTGGTCAGGGACACCTTGCACGTGTTTTCTGTTTGCTTTCGACCAAGTAGATAATTTAATTATTTGGGTACACTCAGACTGACGAGTGGGCTGCTTCATGGTTTTTTGTCCCTGTTGACTTGTTCAATTAAGATTTGAATTCCTGTTTAGAGCTGAGGGATGCTGCAGACTGGATGTTTGTGTGTGCTCTGCCAGTTTGCCCAGTTATCAGTGACAAACTGGATGGACTTAAAGTGAGACAGAGATCAAATACCCTGATTCTACTTTGGCTGAGCTAGGCCTATCTACAGTAAACTGACAATAAAGCAAACAGCAGGGATTTGTTTTCTTTTGTGTGTTTTGGGAAAGGATTTTTTGCTCTTTTAGCATATTTATCAGATGTGAAGTGCTTTATAAATACTAGTGGACAGCAGATACTCCTGTGTGAGTAGAAGCATTTGCATTCTGTACCAGCAATAGTATTAGGAGTAGCAGAAGAAAATTTCTCCCTGGAAAAATTACTGATTTCTCTTTGGTCCAGCCTGGAATAAAATGGCTCCTTGAAATCTTGAGAGTCCAAAATATTGAAAAAGCTTGTGGAAACGAGAGATCTCAGCAGGAGTGATCTCCCCAGGCTTTATCCTTCAGCCTCTGATGCAGCTCAGTTCCCCTTACACAAAACCATAAATGCAGTCCCTTTTCCTCAGTTGATAAAGCAAATAGGTGGGAAATTTCACTTGGGAGTTTTAAGTCACAAGGGAAATACTGTGAAGCAGAAGCCCTAAACTCAGAGATCTCAGGAGAAATGTCAATCCCACTCATAGCCCTTCACATTCTCCTTGATCTAGTTGTCCTTCCTGGTGTGAAATACAGTTTGGTGTTCCCATAGGAAAATGTTCTATTTAGGAATTTTCTACCATGTGGCAGGGTTTTTTTCATTTTCTATGTTTTCACTATTTTGTGAGTTTCTGTAGTCATTTGATTGAGGTGTTGGTGATTTTTACTAGGTAAAAAAATACATAAAAGTGCTTTTACTGTGTGCTGAACTGGTCAGGAAAGAAGTTTTTCTTCCCTAAAAGTTCTCCCAATGCTTATGAAGACTGGAAAGATAGCTGTGCTCAGAATGACAACTGTCCCATGGATGTCCAGAATGAGCGCTTGGCCTGAAAATGTTCCTATTTGAATAAATGCCTTAGATAATTGCGTTATATCATTTCAGCACAGTATTTTGGACTATGCTTTGCTTTTTCATAACAGTAGTCCTCTTTTTTTCCACTGCTTTTCATTTATCTTTCCTTTTGACTGTCTACACCCACTCTGTCTCTTCCCTCACTTTTCTCTTATTATTTTTGGCCAGAGATAGCTGTGCAGACATCGTTCAATAATTTTTCGTCCCTTACCTTCATCCTTCCACCAGAAACATCAGAGCAATGCACTTCCCTAGCAGTTTGCATACATTACAGAAATTCTGTTTAGAGCTGTGATTTTCCATTTTCAGGATTTAGGAGTAATAGTCCCCTTTCTTTCTTTCTCTTCCGGCTTTTTTCTGCTTGATCAGCAATCTCAGAGCTCCTGTGCATCAGCCAAGCCCTTGCTGGAGGGAGGCAGCCATGTTTGCTTGCTCAAGCTCATTCCTTGTTTTCTGTGGTTCTGACATCCTCTCTTGATCCAGGTGGATTGGGTTTTTTATAAAAAGCTCAGCTTTTCTTGCCAGCCTGTACATCAGCTTTGTGCTGCAGCTGGTCAGATTGAGTTTGTGCTCTGGCATGAATTCAGTCCAACTTAGATGACCAAATTCTTGAACTTTCCATTATGTAAATGTAAATGCACTATACCTGTGTTGACTACTTAATATATTTTTTTTGTCCATTTGGTCCACTTGTACAAAAGCTCTAATTTTATGAAATCTGACAGAATTTTATGCAGAGAGATGATGCGCTGTAAAAGCATGTTCATGTCTGGTATTCCAGTCCCATTCTCTTCCTTCCTTCTCTACTGAAATGTCAGTATTAATTTTTCAATAATTTTGTCCCCTTGCTTAAAATATGTCTTTTTTTTTCTTTTAAGCAACTATCTGGCAGTAATTTTCCTCCTTATACAAGGTCGTTTCTTGTCCTGTAATAAATCATAATTTTGTACATAATTTGTACAGAATTTTATAAGAAATCTGTGGAAAACCACCTGCCTTTCTCCTTTCTCACACTATGTGTGTGTAACACACATAGTCACACTGTTTGGTTTGAGGCTTATGCTGATGCTCAGAACAATATTTCATGCCATGAATTTATATATAAAATCTTCTGGAGTGTGCATGCCTGTGTGCGGGCTTGTTGTGCATGTGCACACGTGTGAGTGTGTTTGCACATTGATAGAGCCAGAATCATGTGTTCTCTCAGGACATTTCTGCACAGGTAGTGTAGCAGAGGCTGGAACCTGGATCTGCATGGAGAGAGAATGAGAAGCAAAGGGCACAGCTGAAATGAGATGTTCAGCTTGATATAAGGAGATGGCTTTTCCTTGGAGACTGGTTGAGTGCTGGGACAGGCTGCCCAAGTGCCATCTCCATCTCTGAGAGCTTTCAGAACCTGTCTGGGAACAGCCCTGAACAACCTAGTCTGACCTTCACTAAATGTTTTGATGGAAGTCTCTTCCAGCCCATATCATCCCATAATCTTATGATTTCATGACCTTAGGTAATGGCATCTTTCATTTT